TGTAAGTTAATTTAGACCTAGTTAAAAATTTGTACAAATTGAGTGTGAATTTTTTCCCATTCTTCCATAAGATTATCGAGCCATGCAATACTTAAACCACTCTTTAGTATACTGCGACATAATAACTCTTCACCGACTAGTCTTTCCCTATCTATTAAAAATTTATGATATTTTCTGGTATCTTCATTCCTTTTTATCCCTCCATGATATAATCGTATATCTCTCTCCAAATCACCACGGAAGCATCCCATGCTCCACCTTTTTTTTCAGTCTCAGTAATGACTGAAAATTTCTTGGGATCAATTTTATGTTTAATGGCATATTGGTGTGAGCCAGCCTCTAGCTGATAAATCTTATTTGGATTAGTTATGCTAATTTTACTAATTTGTGAGGATTTAGGAGCTTCAGACTTTATCCAGGGATCAAGCTCAGTCTCTTCCGTATATGCTCTATATAAGCTTGAACGAATTTTATCTGTCAAATGGCTTGGTGAATCAATCAATTTAGCATGCCAGTCCAAATATTCTGGAGTTAAGGCTTTATCCATATTATTATTTTATATAATCGCAAATTTAATTTAAGTATAAGTTGTGACTCATTCTTTGATATATATAGAAGCAGAGTTGGATACAAAATAACTGCTTATTATTATGGAATAATGAATAGAATTCGGTGTCTTTGTCTCACTTACATAACAAGGATACTTACCTGTACATATTCCGAATTAGTAATTAAAAAATAAATATAGTGGCTATACCTGGATGACTTTATGATCTATGTTGTGATCTCAATTTCATACTCCCCACATTTAATAAAATAGGACCCAGCTTCATATTTACCTCTTATACTCTTCTCATCCTTATGACTCGACTTGCATACTGAACATAATGACTTATCAATAATTCCATAATAATCAAATTTTTCGCTACTAAATTCTCTATATATATCAGGATACTGGCCTATATTTTATTACGAAAATAATTACGATCATGAGCTGATACACTTGCGTGATCTATAGATGGAATAGCGGAGCTAGTGCCAAGGCACATCTTATTTTCTGGCAATATATTATCTTTCGGAGAAAGCGCACTTCGTGCATTTGATGAAGCACTTATCTCTGCATTAATCTGATCATTCCCTGAGGGAACGGTTTTTAAAGTCACTTGATTTATAATATTTTGAATTTGGATATTAGTCAGTTTTAAAATCTCATTCGCGCTATAAGTGACTTGCTTAATTTTATCTATTCCGACTCCATCTTTTCCGAATAATATAAGAAGTTTTCTAGCTCTAAGAGTTTTTTTGCGCAAGTTATCTTGTGTGATATTAGGAAGAAAAGGTT